ATCACAAGACAGAAAGTAGAAGACCTAACAGACATAAATGCAAAAATGTTTATAAGTTGATGGTATGAGAATGAAGAGTTTCATAACTGATATCTTAAGTTATTTCATGATTAACACCTTTCAATAAAAAAAATTTAAGATCATTGAAACTATAAAGGCAAGGTATTATGTGGAGGAGTTTGAAAAATTGAAAAACATTATGTAATATTGATTTCAGTTTTGTTCTATGACTCTCTTTTTTTTTCAAGCTGCCCAAAACACCTTTTCCAAGTTTCCCAGCAGCCTACCCACTGCTGTATACTCAGACTGAATCTGAGCTGACATAACAACAGAACCTCAGACAGTTGATCACTACTTTCTCTTTGCTATGTTTTCCTGTAGTCCTCTTAGAGTTCTATGCTTCCTCATTTTTTTTATCTCACTTTTCATTATTGTTTCTTTGTCTTCTTTGATGGTTCATCTACTTCTTTCCAAAATATTAATATTGGAGTATCTAGGTATCTATCCTTGGACTTCTCATTTCTGTCTGTATTATTCTTTTCATTCTCTCACTGAGTTTCATGACAATTCTCAAATGTGTACCTTTGGCCCAGAATTCTCTTCCAAACTTTATTTCCATTTAGATTTAAAATAAATGTCTCAAACTCAATATGTGTAAAAATGAAATCTAGAGTTTAGATTTCCTTCTACAAAAATGTCCATATGCTTCCTTCCCATTCCCATTAAAAGAATTTCAATCTTTCATTTGTTCAAAGCCAGAAACTTTGCATCATGTTTTATTTCACTCTTTCACATTCTGCTTCCTTCTGTTACAAATCCTATGTTGTAGCTTCAAAATATCTGTAGAATAGGATTATTTCATAGCTTCTGCACTAATAAGCCAGCACGAAGCTTTGCTAGATAGCACAGAATCCCTGTATGTTTGCCTCACTGTACTGCATTCTGTTTTCTTTTTGTTCCCAATGCTTGGGATTGAACCCAGAGCCTTGAGAATGTTAGGCAAATATTCTACCACTGAGTTATATCCTAAAGCCCTTTCTGAGACAAGATTTCACTAAGTTGTCCAGGCTGGCCTTAAACTTGTGAGGCAACTTCCTCACTCTTCAAGATTAAGGCATGTACCACCATGCCAGTCACTACATTCCATTCTTCAGGCAAGTGGAGACCTCTCTTTCTGCTTTCTGATCATCAGTGAGCTGGTTCCTCTGCCATACTCTTCTACCATGATGTCCTACCTCACATCAGGCCCTGAGAAATGGAACCTGCTACCTATGGATTGACACCTGGGAAACTGTGAACTCCTAAATAAATATTTCCTCCTCTATGGTCAGATCCTTTCATCACAGTAGTGAAAAATCTGACTAAATACTTCTTCTACTTAAAACCAGCAATGCCTACACATTCCCTTAGAAAGAAAGACAAAGTCCTTACAGGTCCCAGAAGGACCTTATTATTAGGCCTCACAATACATCCATGTTCTTTTTTCATCGTCTCTTTACTCACTCTGCTTTAGCCCTGGTAGCATTCTTGCTGTGTCTTGAATGTACCCAACATGATTCTACTGTCTTACTAGTATATTTAGTACTTTTAAAAATCAGTTTATTACATTTTAAAGTTACCAGTTTGCTCTAAAACTTTGAAAGATAAAATTTTATCTTCAAAAACACGGTGAGGTATTGTAGTTATCAGCTTTTCATCACTGTGACCAAAACACCCAATATGAACTATGTGGAGGAGAAACATATACTTTGACTCACAGTTTCAGATGTTGAGTTCATGGCTGACTGACGCTATTGCTGTGGGCTCAAGGTGTAGCTGGGCATTATAGCAGAAGGGCATGGCTGAGAACTACTGAATTTATGGAATCCAGGAAACAGAGCGGGGAGAAGGTGTCAGGGAGAAGATGAACCCTTCTAGAGCACAATCCTGGTGACCTACCACCTGCCTACAGTTACCATCCAGTTAGTTCATTCAAACTACAATGGACTGTTTAGGTTACAACCCTCAAAATCCAATCAGTTACTGCTGAACATTTCTGCATTAACACAGGAGCTTTTGGATATGAGGCAAGAACACCTCATAACCAAACCATATTATTCCAGACTTGGCTCCCGAAAGATCATGTCTGTTTGACAACGCAAAATGCATTTAGTCTATCTTCAAATCTTCAAGAATCCCATAGTCATAACAATTCCAGCATTGCCCCAAATCGAAGTCTAAAAACTCTCCTCTGAGACTCAAGGCAAATACTTGGCTCTGAGCTCCTGTAAAAAAAGAAAGAAAGAAAAAAAAAACAAGTCACATATATATCCAATATAAAGTGGCATGAAATAAACATTCCTATTCCAAAAGGGAGGAATCAAGGCATAAAAAGAAGAGATGAGGCCAAAATAAACCTGAAACCCAGGCAGAAAAACAGGTTCCAAAACTTCATGTACAACATCTAGGACACATGGTGGAAATATGTGTTCTTCAAAGGGCTTGAGAAATCCTTCCCTTTTGACCTTGAAAGTAGCAGTGATAATGGAAATAAGATCTTACCAGAGATGACATTATGTTCTCAGTTTTTGTGTCTTTGCATGAGAGGTTTTCAAGAAAAATGTTTTTGACTTAGTAAAAGTATATAAAAGTTTATTAGAAGAGAAAGAAAGAGGAGGACCCTCAAGATAGAGAGCAGATACTCTCAGAGGGAAGAGTGATAACTCATTTCTTTGCGTCTCAGCTTTTATTAGGACAGGAGCAACATTGTTAGAAGATCCCCCTTAATATCACCTCTTGGTTCTGGATCAACAGACTGTGTTAGCTAATAACCTAAGGGAAACTCTTGGACATCTGGGCCTGGCTGACCTGGCCAGGTCCTAACTGGAATTGGTTTTATAGAATTTAAGGTCAGTGGGCTCCAGTCTTAATCATCTTGTTGTCCTGGGCCTGGGAATCTTTGGTCTGTATTATTTATGTAGGGTCTTGCAGAAGATGTCTTAGCAATTAGGCCCTTCTGAGAAAACATATATTTGTCCTTCCCTGAATTTATCCATCTTTCTTTGGTTGTAAAGAAATAATTTATAGAGCTGAGATCATGCAAGGGGCCTGAAATAGCTATCAAGTCAGAACTAGTGGTACCATTGAGGTAGATCTGATTTGCTCTGTACTAAGTATTTCCTTAAACTCCTGATTGACTGCTTGTGTCTAACTGCTACCTCACAGCAGAGCTCATGTCCTCTCTCTTGGCCTGGCTTTCTCTCTGAAGCCAGCATCTTTTCTTAGCAAACAGTCCATGTTACTGGCATCTCTTAATTCCCGGGGTCTCCATTCAGCTTCAGTTTCACTTTCACAGCTTCACATGTCACTCTCTCAGGAGCATTCTGTAGGAACTCTGACTCTGCTACACTTTGCCTACCCTCCCAGACCTTGCTTTGAAAGTGATCTCTTAAATCTAGTATCCTTTATTCCTATAAAACCAGCACCATGTGAAATTTGCCACCAGCTTTCACAGTAATTGGGTCCCCTGGGACCACAGCTGCAATGGACTTTAAGTGCCTGAGTGACTGAGCAAAGTGAAATAGCTTCTTAGGTCCCCCTTTGCAAGAAGGATATGTCAACAATCTTTTCTCAAAAGATTTTTTCCTTTCTACATCCTTGAGTCTATATTTGGCGTGGTATTGAACATTTCTGAGAGACCCTCAAGACATCTTTGCTAGTGTCTCTGTGCAAAATACTTAGCATCTCTCTATTTACCATAATCTCTTTCACAACCATGCATCCAACATCTCTCTATTTACCATAATCTCTTTTACAACCATGCATTCCTTGCTCCCAGTTTTCTACACACTTTTCTGGCCAAACTGCCTTTTAAAAATTCTTTAGCTCTGTTTTCTGCTCCCAATTCTTATAGTAAAATTGGCTACTGTTTTCATTACATTGATCACCATCTAACATATAATTTACTTATTTATCATTTTACTCTTTATTTTTGCTTCTGCTAGAATATAAGTTCCCCAAGGGCAGAGTAACTTTGTCTCTTTTGTTCATTAATAAGTCCTAAGGGTTTAAAACAGTGTCTGGCACATAATAGACATGCAATAAATATTTAATAGATAAATTAATTGAATAGCCACCTAATTTCAGAAAGTGAACCTATAAAAGAAAATTTAGAGGTTTATCAGGAAGTATAGAATGCACATTTGAAGTAGATAACCATTATTTTAAAATGAAATCAATGAGTATAATTGAGTTTCCAAAGAGGTGTTTTGCTTCTTAGGTATAATGGAGAAAAATGGATTATAAAGCCCAACTAGTGTTGTTGCTGTTATTTTGCAAGTTAATTTGTCACAAGAAGGGAGGGATGAGAAAAGGAAAAAAAGGGACAATTTCAACATGAGAAAATGAAATATATGCAAATTAAAAGATAATAAAACCAGAAGATGTCTTGTGAGGGTCAATTTTTAGAAGTCCCAATGAAGCAGATGCTGTATCAAGGCATCAGGAGTACCAGACAAATGGGGTTGTGGGTGGAGATAGAGTTCTGAGACAGGCATATCTGAAATTGCAGTTTAAGAGGTTTTCTATACCATCTGTGAAGGTAAAATCCAGCAATGGTTTTGGAAGTGGCTGATTGTAATGGAACGAATGAGGATATCTTTGGATTTGAGCAACTCAAAGATCTGAGAGAACAGAGATTTCTATGGGAATTTTAAAAGAGCCAAAATTATGAAAGAAACATGCTGAATTAATTATTATGACCCATGAATTAACATTATCAATAATAAGGGGGAAATCAACAGAAAACAAATAGGTAACAGCAATGGAAAGAATAATGAAGTGGTAAAGTTTGATTTTGTTTAATAAAATAATTTTTAAAGGTAAAGGAGGTTTATCAGAAAAGAGGGAGTAATGGTTATAAAAGTTTTAATGGAAAATAAGGAGGATAATTATTCAGAAATGCTAAATATTTTATTATTTATGAATTATTCAGAAGTATAATTATTTTTATTTTCATACAGACTTCTACAACTCTTCCAAAAGCAGCTGGTAGAGAAACCAAATATGTAAGTACTTTTATAACTATACATAATGCTTTTTAAATGGATGCCAAGTATATATTTTGGCAGGAACTCAACTACATAATAATTTAAATTCAACTAGTTGGTTTTTCCGTAAGTGGAAAAGGAGGAGTAGGATGGTCTGAATGGCCCAGGTATGAAAAATCAGATTATGTCAGGGATAAAACATCAAGTAAGCTTATCAAATAAATTCTGTCTTAAATGAAACCTAGTTTGATTAATTCAGCTGAATAAAACAGAACTGTAATACCTGCTTTTTGTCTGTTTAATTATTCAAACTTCATTTTTATTTTTTAATAGCTTGTGTTTGTTATAAAATGGTCAATTCACATACTTGAAACATTAAGATTTGTTCATTTCCAATGGAATTCCCAATTTAATCTACTGACAAGTTTGTTGTTTCCTGCATTTAAATTATGAACTAAATCAATTTCTGTGTATAACCAAATAGTTATGATAGACTGATAGTGGCTATGTACATATGAACTACACACTTAGTTCAAATGACCCTGGTGAACTGGATCTGAGTGTGTCTTGGGCACAGGCACTTGGACACACCTACTGTCCCCATTCTTCACTCACCAGACAGCAACATATTACTCATGGACCCACTCTTGAATTTGAGCAAGCACATTTTAGTACAACTGTGATTGTCTTCCAATCAAGTGCTGAGTGTTCAGCCTAAAACAAAGCAGTAAGCTGTTTCTTTAAATTATATATTAGTTTCCTAATACATAGTTTTTGTCATCCTCCTCAAGAGTAAATAGTTATTAAATGTGTATTTTGTGCCATGCCATCATTACAGTTTATACATTTGTGCCTTCATTTGAATCTCCTGAAGGCAAATAATGAACTCAGTGAAATTATTAAATGTTATCACATTTAGGAAATTATGTTTACAGGACGTGGGCAGGAACACTGCTCACAGCATTTCTTGGAAGATTTCACTGCGACATTTCATTATTATTGGGAGCCCTTTGGAGTAATGCTTAAAAAAAGTGGAGGCATTTAGTAGGTTAGACCCAAGTGTATATCACAGATAACTGCCTGATTTGGGGTAGATGGCTTATTTTACCTTGTGTCTGAAGAGTAGATACCTGCTAGAGATCTGTGTGTCACTAACTTTGTATAGATTCATAGATTGAGCTCAAAAGCAGGAATTGTACAGTATACCAACTCCTGTACCACAGAGGAGTTTGAACAAAGAGAAGAGTTGAAGTAGAGCCAAGGAAAAATGTCTGTTACATTTGAGCATATCCTCAGCAAATTAGCACTGACCATCCCAAAGCCCTATTCTTGAGGCTCATAAAAAGATTCATATGTAGTACATGGATCATTACCAGTAAAAATGCTAGTTGGTATTTTTCTGTCTCCATTATTCAGTTTTCCATTTTTGTTCATTGATTCAACAAATATGTTTATTGAGGATCTGCCATGTACTGGTCACTGAGGAGTCACTGGGTTGAAAGGGACAAATACAATAATAAGGTCCTATTTCTGAAGCATGTTTTCAAATGGAGGAGACAGACAGTATGCAATGAAAATAGAAAATGAGCAAAGTAATTTTCTTGTAGAAAGAGAGGAGAACTTTCTGATGGATGTTAAAACAAACTTTCAAAGTTGTTAGTTTTCAATCTATTGGTATGTTCCTAGGATTTACAGTTTTCCTAGAGAGATTGTAATGGTTTAATTAAATAATAGGAAATTGTATAATGATTCATCCTTATGGGCTTTGGATGAAAGGATGATTTCTCTCAAAACAAGGAAAGGAAGGAGGAAAATTAGAAAGAAAGTCACTGCAATACAATATTACTCTACTTCTTTTTTGAACATTTTGTGATATTTTACAGTATATGTTTTAAGATAAGCTGGGAGTCAGTAATCCATCTATTCAGATGAAAGCCAAACTTTTCTTCAATTCATAGTGTGCTTGAATGATGGTTTTAAAGTAACTTAATTGATATTTTCCTAAGTGTAATATAAATAAAATTAGGCTAATAATACATTGAATAGATAGCAATTGTTAGGCTACTTGCAGTCAATTAATTTATCATCAATGTTTTGCTTATTTTTAGTGGGTACTAAATTAGTAAATGTTGTCTTATTTAAACCACAACCTTGTCATGTGAGGTGGGAGTTATCATCACAGAATTTCCATTTTACAGAGGGAGAAAATAAGCCTCAGAAATCGCAGACTAAGCAAAATACAACCTAGGTCTGCTCCATGACAAAACCTCTGCCACTGATGTTGTTGAGCTTATAGAAGCTGAGAATAGTTTGAGTTTTTAAAGACTTGTATCCATTAGTATAATTATTCTGGGTTTAAATTATATCTTAATGACTAATAACCATTAGTCTAAACTTGGAATGAATACTATCTGGTCTTATTAACAATTAAAATGATAATACCTTTATGTTTTCAGGCTTTTAAATCACTTGCTTTCATGTTTATTAACTCATAATTTATCAGATAATATATGAGTGATTATTTCTCATAACAGTTTTAAGTAGTTTTTTTTTTACCCTACATAAAGGAATGATTTTTTAATTGAAATTTGTATTTTATTTTCTGTTTACTCTATCAGTTTTAGAAGGGAATCCTTTTTGGAAGGGATTCTTTTTCTCCATGTTATGATGGCTTTTGTAAATGTTTATTATTTTCATTCACTGCTACCAGTTTAAATTCATTTCATTCATATAATTCAAAACCACAGTATGCTTTCTTAATAAAAAGCAACCTCAAAAAAAGAGAACCAATATTGCTATTTATCAAAATACCCTTGGATGGAATCATATTCTATTGATAACAGCTTATTCCATAAATTCTCTATATTTCATGAATTGCTTTTAAGTGCCAGGGAAATAAATGAGATAGGCTTATTAAATATTAGTATACAGGTAAGATCTCATTTTAATGAGCTCGAGGGACAGAAAATGTCATAACAATGAAAGCATATTTCTTCCAAAATATCACAATATATTGGAAAATATGTCGAACTTTTTAAAGAATATTTCCTGCTACATATACTTGTATTCAAACAAAGGTCATCTTCTCCAATTTAGCCAGCTCACACACTTCTCTTGTTGCTATGCTTGGAAATGTTGCTATGCTGGAGTGTTTCAGACGCAAAGTACACTAATGCAGTCATAGATCTTAGGTGACTAAAATCCACCTCCACAGATCTGCCTCCATAGGATTAGGGTAGAGGTTTGATGAATAACACGAAGAACTGTGTACAATTTAAGCAAGAAATTCCAGTATGTGAACCAGTCTCATTGTTCAGAAATTTTTCTGAAGTGTGTATGTATGTGAAAGGACTTGACAGGGGAATGGAAGAAAACTATCTGGGCTCTGCTAAATGAGGAGGAAGAGCAGAGTTTGTATGTAAAACACTTTAGGCCTCCTCTCTTTTTCCTATGGTGTTAGACTATCAAACATGAGTTGCAAGGAAAAGCATCTCAAGAAAATGGCCAAAGAAATTGGTTGTACTTTGTGTGCATCTGACATTATGGAAGATGAAGATGGTTTCATCCAAGCTAGCTTGGTACAGGTGGTGGCCTTGTGTAGTAATTTATTTTTTAATGAATTTTAAATCCTTACTTTTTCCCCTTAGTCTTTCCCCTAACTCTTTTAGTTCTTACATAACCTTACTCTATATTTTCTTTGAAGTCAGAAAATTTATTTCCATAATTTTGACTGTTCTTTTAGTTTTTAAGTCTTAAAAAATTGTGCTTCTATTTGTTTTTGATTGGTAATAATTAATATTGATAACAATTAATATTTATGGGGTACAATGTGAGGTTCGATCTATTTATACATTATACAAAGATTCAATCAAGCTAACTAGCAAACCTATCACCTCATCAATTTATCACTTTTTATGATAATAATGTTTAAAACATATTTTAGTAATTTTGAAGCATTATTATTCATTGTGGCTACAATGCAGTGCAGTAATTCATTGAACTTGTTCCTTCAGCCCAACTAAAACTCTGTACATCTTTCTTTCTCTCAAGCTCAATATCTTCTTTTCTTTCCCCTTCTGCCCATCACCTTCCCTGTCCCCAGCCTCTGTTAATCACATCCCCTGCCCAGTACACCTTATTACATAAGGTCATGAAGAAAAATGTTAAACAGTAACCTAATGTAAAGACAGAAGATCCTCCAAGTTATGGCATTCAGATTGACAGCAGCAAAAGAAATTAGAACTAGTGGGAAAGTATCTTCCAAAGATGGAAAGATACCATTAGCTAGAATTCTGTGTCCTGTTGAACTCTCATGGGAGAATAAAATAAACTAAAAACATTTTCAGATAAAAAAAATGAAAGACAGTAAAATCTGAGAAAAATTATCAATGAATTCATTTCAGTAAGAAGGGAACTAAGGTGGTGAGAGAAATGGGAAGTTAGCAATCAATGAACATCAAGTTTTTACTTGTGCAACTGAAAAAAGTTCTTGTGATCTGCTGTACAATAGTGTACCTATAGTCAACAGTACTGTATTATTAAAATTTTATTAAGAGGTCGGTCTTTAGTTTAATGTTCTTATTAAAATAGAATTTTTTTTAAACTAAGGAAATTAAATTCAGGTGAAGAATAAAATACAGGAATCAATGATGAAGAAACAATATTAATATGCTGTTTAATAGTTTAAAACCAAATCATTTCCATTCTGAAGTCATGAAACTTAAGTTTCCTTTTTATGTAAAGAAAATTTAAGGAAAAAGTATTTACAAAATTTGTATAAATGTCAACAATGTTCTTATGTGTAAGTAAAATATAAAATGAAAAAAGTTAAATAGTAGGTATACTTGAAGAATTTTTGATGGCATGTGATATTACTTACATTAAGAGGGAAAAGCAGCATATTAAATACCATATTCACTCTGAATAAAATGTATAGAAAAATATTGTAGGCAATGTACCAACTTGTTAAAAATCATTTCTTGTTAGCATGCTTTTATTTTTTCTTTATACTTTTTAAAGGCCTACATTACTTTAATAATAAATACCTTCAAATATTTAAAATATAGATATATTATTTTACTAAGATATACTGTTTGTTTTGCAGGCAAATCTCTCATCACCATCCTCTACAGTGTCTGAGAGTCAACTGGTATGTATTTTCTTACAAAGTCATAGACCTACTTCTAAAAATTTTGATTTCTCAAGACAATTTTATCTGAGGGAAAATGAATCGAGAATAAATTTACTGTATATAAGTTTGTTCACGTGCTTGTCTATTAAAAATTTACTGATGCTTTAGTAAATCCCCATGGTGGTTGTTTGGTCAGTAGACAAACTTACATAAAATCATACATAGACCTACTTGCCAGTGAATTATATTCAAGTTGTAGTGTTAGAAGGAGTTGGGTTGGAGAAAAAACACTACTGGAATTTACAGAAGAGAGTTCACCTCTTCATGAGGGAAATCCTGAAGGACTTGAGGAGAAGGTCACAATTGAATGCATAGGGTAATTTTTGGGTTTGTAGAAATGAGAAACAAAATTTCACACAGGAGGATTAGTATGTGGATGGTCTAGCCCAGTGTTGAGCAAAGCAAATACAATGTGACTTGATAAGTGTAAACCATGTAAGCAATTTAAAATTTTCTAGTAGTTGTATTAAAAAATGAAAAGATAACATCAATTTCAATGATATATTTATTTAATGCAAGATAAATTTTTGCATGGTGAGGGAAGTCTGTCTTTGAAATCTGTGTATTTTACATATGTAAAGAATTTCAAACTAGTCACATTTTAAGACCTTCACAGCAGTGGCTGCATCAGGCAAAACAGATCTAAACTCTAGAATTTATTATTTGTTATAAAAATTAGATTAAAGAGGAGAATTATCTCTTTTTTAGTGTTTTCCATTTCTTATTCTTATAGTGATGAGCCAATTAAAATTATGGAATAAGTTTCCTAGATTATCATTCATTAAAGATTATCTTTACATTTTCAAATTTTTATTGTCTAAAATATTATATGTTCCTGAACAATAGATACCTTCAGTAAAATTAATGAAAATTTCTAATAAAGCAGTTTAATACTGACTTTTTCCCTTTTTCAAGCAATTCTTTTGGTGTCCTGCCAAAAAGGCAATATTTTTTATTTGTAAATTGAGAAATCATAAAAAATATAGACTGATTCTGAAAATAGCATGTGTTTGTGTAATGTTGGTATCATTTGGGGGAACAGAGGGAAACAATAAGGTATACTTGAAAGAATGATAGATTGGGTATCAGAAAACCCAACTGATACTTCTGCTCTAACCCTAACTACGGTGCTGACATTGGGTAAGTCACAAGAAATCAGAGTCTGGGTTTCAATTTTCTAGCTGAACCGGAGAGCATTCAGTTATGTCCTTTCCAGCCCTTCCAGGACTGTGATGAGAATCTATGGTTACTAACACAGCAAATGAAGGAGTTGCTATGGTAACAAGCACTGCAGTAGCATAATGAAGTTGAATAGCTCCCACTTTAGTATGGAAATATTACTAATTTTTAAAATAATGACATTTGTTGCTTGAGAGTAATGTATGGGAATCGAGAACATTTTGGATATTTTTTTTATTAAATTCTATTCAGCAAAGTATAATAGAGACAAGATGGTTGGTGAAATAAATGTGTGTGTATTAATACATGTAAATTCTTAGCTTAATACTTTAAGAAATTATTTCATTTCTCTGACTGCTAGAGATGGTGAGCATTTTTTCATGTACTTGTTGATTGATTGTATGTCCTCCTCTGAGAAGTGTCTGTTCAGGTCTTTGGCCCATTTGTTGATTGGGTTATTTGTTTTCTTATTGTTTAATTTTTTGAGTTCTTTGTATACTCTGGATATTAGGGCTCTATCTGAAGTGTGAGGAGTAAAAATTTGTTCCCATGATGTAGGCTCCCTATTTACCTCTTTTATTGTTTCTCTTGCTGAGAGAAAACTTTTCAGTTTAAGTAAGTCCCATTTGTTGATTTTTGTAAGATACCATCTCACTCCAGTAAGATTGGCAGCCATTATGAAGTCAAACAACAACAAGTGCTGGAGAGGATGTGGGGAAAAGGGTACTCTTGTACATTGCTGGTGGGACTGCAAACTGGTGCGGCCAATCTGGAAAACAGTATGGAGACTCCTGGGAAAGCTGGGAATGGAACCACCATTTGACCCAGCTATTGCCCTTCTTGGACTTTTCCCTGAAGACCTTAAAAGAGCGTACTACAGGGATACTGCTACATCGATGTTCATAGCAGCACAATTCACAATTGCTAGACTGTGGAACCAACCCAGATGCCCTTCAATAGATGAATGGATAAAAAAAATGTGGCATTTATACACCATGGAGTATTACGCAGCACTAAAAAATGACAAAATCATAGAATTTGCAGGGAAATGGATGGCACTAGAGCAGATTATGCTTAGTGAAGCTAGCCAATCCCTAAAAAACAAATACCAAATGTCTTCTTTGATATAAGGAGAGCAACTAAGAACAGAGCAGGGAGGAAGAGCAGGAAGAAAAGATTAACATTAAACAGATACATGAGGTGGGATGGAAAGGGAGAGAAAAGGGAAATTGCATGGTAATGGAGGGAGACCCTCATTGTTATACAAAATTACATATAAGAGGTTGTGAGGGGAATGGGAAAATAAACAAGGAGAGATATGAATTACAGTGGATGGGGTAGAGAGAGAAGATGGGAGGGGAGGGAGGGGGGATGGTAGAGGATAGGAAAGGTAGCAGAATACAACAGTTACTAATAGGGCATTATGTAAAAATGTGGATGTGTAACCGATGTGATTCTGCAATCTGTATTTGGGGTAAAATTGGGAGTTCATAACCAACTTGAATCTAATGTATGAAATATGATATGTGAAGAGCTTTATAATGTTTTGAACAACCAATAAAAAAAAATTAAAAAAAAAAAAAAGAAATTATTTCAAAGAAGCAAATATGTATATATTTATATATATACATATGTGTATATACATGATGATTTTGAGACATAGTGAAAACAACTCCTTGTGAATTAAAAACAAATTACTTTTTTCTTAATAAAATATTCCTGCACTTATGTTCTCAGGGAGGTGGGGCAGGGATAAAATGTTTTTGCTTTAACTTACTTTAATGATGATTTTTTTGCATTTACTTTAAACATTTTCTCTAATGAGTTCAAGGCAATTCTTAAACAAGGTTTAAATTAAATTTTAATCTCAAAATGTCCATGAGATATAGGTAGGTTTCTGAAGGAATTACTCTCACTCTCTTCGATTGATATAATCATTTGTTTCAATTATTTATCACTTTGATTTCTATATCATGACATTAAACCTGTATTCACGCTTTTTGGAAATAAGATGTATCAGAGTGGAAATCATTGAATGCAATATTGTACATTACTCTTAAGTAATATAATTTATGAAGCTTTAATGGTTTTCATTTTTTATAAATGAGTTTTCAGTATTTGCCATCATGAATGATGTTCAGGATTAAGTTCAAAATAACATGAATAAAAAGAGATGTCTTTGAAAAATAAAACTATGAGGCTAGGGATGTGGCTCAAGCGGTAATGCGCTCACCTGGCGTTCGTGGGGCGCTGGATTCGATCCTCAGCACCACATAAAAATAAAATAAAAAAATATGTTGTGTCCACCGAAAACTACAGCTATACATATCTTTTCTATATGTATGCATAGTATGATATATAGTATGTTTGTATAGCACATAAAACAAAATTATTAGAAATGTATTATATAATAGAGTTAAATTACATAAGTAAATATAGTGATTTTATATAAAATAAGCAGTTTATATTGAAATTATTTGTCTTCTATTTTAGGGGAGAAGCATAGTAAATTGGCTGGAGTGAAAGTATATAAAATCAATATCATAGCACAAGCTCAATACAAATCTCAAATTATTTTTGAGATTTGGCTTTTTAAATATGCAGTATATCATTTATTTCATGAGTTTTTATTTTTCAACTTGGCTTATCTATTTGCTTGCTTTTATTGCAACCGTGTCAATTCAATATTGGAAGGAAATAGGTCCAGGACCCTAACTCTCAAAATATTTTCAATGTGAGTTTGAAGAGGAGCACTTGCCTATCATGTGTGAGGCATAGGTTCAATCCCCAGTATGGAAAAAAAAAATCACTGTTTACTCTGGAAGCCAGATGATTTAGTATCAGGCTCTGGAGACAATTTCAGCGACCATTATGAATCTGGTTCACCAGTCTTAATTGTTCTTCTCTTAAACATCAATGTCATAGATCACATCTGGAAAGAAATTTCCCACCTATAATCTAGAGGTTGGAATTACCACTCTGTCAACCTGGATGGGTTATTGTCAGTCTTACACTTCACAATATGTGAAGTTATCAATATAGTCCTGTAGACAAGGAGGGTGTTATTATTGCACCTGAAATCTCTGAATTATGAAGAGGTAATATGAACAATCCTTTGACAAGAAAGAAATGGGGGCTCCCATAGTTTGAACAAATCATCCAGGGTCACAGTGTTAGTGCTCATCTTTGTTCTGTGTGACTTTCAAAGAGAAAGCAATATTGTTAATTTTAAACAATTCAAGGAGAATAAGAAAGTACTGATGAGGAAGTTGGAAAATTGGGCCTTTGTGGAAGTATTACCTTTATTGAACACCTCCCATGTCTAGCTCTGCTGGCTGTTTTTGCATTGCATGAAACATATGATTAGTTAATGAAAAGGGGAAGTCTGAGGTCTGGCATCTATGGACAGTGTAGTTCTAGTATGTTAAAAAGAGTAAGATGAAAGGGAAGATCTAGGCTGTAGATAAAGCTTTTCTAATTCCCAAACAGAATCATCAAAGTATTAAGTAAGGATGGTGAGGTCTCTTTTCTCTGCCCAAGAAGTCAAGTTAGGTTGGACAAGATGGGTAAGTTCTGGTCTTCCTTAGCAACAGGGGAGCCCAGTTTAGATGACATTTGGCTTTTGCTTTTGAAATTTCATGCCATTATGAATGTTCATTATTGTCCTGGATAGAATACTGAATGTAGAGAATAAACAACAGTAGATATGAAAAAATAAGCGACATGGCTATATACAGGTAAAAGCAAAATGCAACTTACTGGAACATTATAAAGAAGAG